TGTGCCGGGACATTGACGGCAGCTACTGCGGCTACCTGGCGGCTAAGGAGGAGGTCTTCAGGCAGATGAACAGCCGGGAGGTGGGAGGTGGGGGGGGGGGAGACCGGGAGGTAGGGCGAGGTAGTTCCGGGGGCCCCCCACCTTCCCTACCGCCCCTACCTCCCCTCCTCCCCTACGCCGCGTTGGCCAACGGGCTGTTGACCCAACGGAGCTCCCAGCTTGCTTCCTTCCTACATCGCCCTCTCACCCCCCCCCCTTTTTGGGCGGTAGCAACTGCTTCCCTGGGGTTTGCACACATTTCCCCCCTACCTCCCCCCTACCTACCCCTACCTACCCCTACCTACCCCTACCTACCCCTACCTACCCCCTACCTACCCCTACCTACCACCCCTGCTCAGCTTCACTCGCTTGTGGTTCGCCTTCCCCCCCTCCTCCCCCCCAGGACTACCTGGCCCTGCTAGCCCAGGCGGGCTCCCAGCTGCCCGCAGAGTGGCGGCCGCTGATGGCGGACAAGCTGGCGGCGGCACCACTGAGCAGGTAAGCGGGGAGGGAAAGGGGGGGAGGGAGGGAGGGAGGGAGCGGGCCCTCGTACAGAATGTGTGTGTATGAATGTGAGCCGGCAATACACCTGCCGAACGGGGCGGGGTTCCGCTCCCCCCCCTCCCCCCTGGCCCCCTTCCCACTCCTTTACATTCGCCCTCCCTCTTTTCCTGCTTTCTTTAAGACATTCATTTCATCCCAGCGGTTAGGTAGTTTTCCCCCTTTGTCCTGCCTTCTTTGGACTTAGGAGCTAGTAACTCGTCTCGCAAGCTAGCGGGCCACGTCGCCGCCAAGACTACCACTGCTCGAGTCATCACTGGTCAGTAAATATTCCTGATGCAGCATTTGTCTTACTCTCCTGGACTATCTGTCTATCTCTGATATCTGCTTCACACGCCCGTAATTCGTCTTACCCTATCCTCCCCCCGCCCCCCCCTCAGCTTCCCGGTGATGCGCTCCCTGCCCCGGTTCTGGGCCCCGGGCGGTGTGGTGCTGGTGGGGGATGCGGCCCACACCGTCACCCCGGCCCTCGGCCAGGGACTGAACAGCGCCCTGGAGGACTGCGAGCTGCTGATGAGGGAGATACACACGGCGGGGGTGAGTGGGGTAGGGGTGGGGGGTGAGTGGGGGAGGGGTGGGGGGGAAAGCTCGGGGGGAGCGCATCACCGGCAAATTGGGGCCCAAAACACCTTTCGTGGGTGGGGGTGTGTGCTGGTGGGGATGTGTTCTTTGGGGTGGGGAGAGAGGTTACCCGGGGGGGGAGAGGTTGAGATCTGGGGCCGCCTGCTCCACACTGCTGAGCTGACTGCGCGGTCAGTTCTGTTGGGACAGCTGCTGCGGGTTGGGGGGAGGCTGTTCGACAGAGACAACCCCGTCGGGGAGGGGAAGCATGAGAATCCGCATGTAGTTATGCAAGTACGTAGGTTCAGCTAAGGCGCAGCCCTAATGAAACATGAACCCTGTCAGTCTGTCAGTCAGTCGGCGTTTATTCGGCCGTAGCCCCCGGTGAGCAGTCGTACAAGCCGTACACAACCTAGTTCCAATCCCTTCTCCAGCTGATCCCCTCTACTCCCACTTCCTTTTCTGCTTCTGACTTCTTGCCCGCACCGCTTCCATCCACCCACACCCTCCGTTCACTCGCCAGTGGTTCATCTTACCCCCCGTTCATCACCCCCATACACACTACACCACCCCACTGACCCCCCCCCCCAGGGCTATGAGGCGCTAGATGCCGCCCTGCGGAGGTTCAGTGACTCGCGGGTGCCCGAGGTGAGGGCGCTGCAGGAGCTGGAGCTGCTGCAGGTAGGTGCCTGTGTGTGGGGGGGGGAAGGGGTTGCGGGGTGCGTGCGAGTGTGTACGGATGGGGAGGGGAGAAAGGGGCAGGCAGACACACTCCGTACGGTTCTGCGCCCTGTCGTGCCTTTATAGTAACCAGCGAGGATCTTAGGACCACCTTGGCGTGTTTGTATGTATGTATGTATGTATGTATGTATGTATGTATGTATGTATGTATGTATGTATGTATGTATGTATGTATGTATGTATGTATGTATGTATGTATGTATGTATGTATGTATGTATGTATGTATGTATGTATGTATGTATGTATGTATGTATGTATGTATGTGCATGTGTGCATTGTCGTGTTAGTAACCTTCCATCGAAATGTGTACGGCAAGAGAGAAAGCGTCCTTTGCCTGGGTGACCGAGTGGCGTGTGCCCGGCCACGCGGCCCACGCCCACCCCCCCATACACACACACCCCGACACACACGCAACACTCGTAAACGCGAACCCTACGGAAGCCACAGTAACCACACTAACCTCCCCTGAATGACACTTTATTATCCAGCCTCAACACCCGCATAGCCTCGTCATGCCGTACATACACACTCGCTCGTCCCACCTGCCTAAACATTCCCCTCTCCTGCCCCGTCCTTCCCCCCTTGTTCCCCCTGCTCCTCATCCCCCCTCCCCCATCAGAGCTCCTCCCTCACCCCGCTGTCCTCCATGTCCCCCCTGGAGCTCCTGCCCCTGCTGCAGCTGCTGGCCCGCAAGTGGGTCATCGTACAGTACTCGGGACTGGCGCTGCTGGGGACTATCGCGGCCACAGTGCAAGCAGCCAACCGCAAGAAGCAGGTTCAGCAGCAGAAGGGGCAGCAGAAGGGAGCAGGGGATGTCGCCGGCGCGCTGGGAAGGGGTTGCAGCAGCGGTGGCGGTGGCGGTGGCGGTGGCGGTGGCGGTGTTGGCGGGCGGACTGAGGCGGAGTGGGTGGATGAGGCGGCGGCTCGGGCGGAGCAACTGGGGAAGCAGCTGGATGGGGGTGCGATATTTGTGAGGTAAGGTGGCTGGGGGTGTGGGGCGGGGGCGGGGAGATGGGGATGGGACCCGGGGTGATTAAGTGTGTCTGTGTGTGGGGGGGGACCCCCGGGGGGGATATTGCGTGTTCAGGGCGCATGTGGGTTGTGAAGGGACTCCGAGTAGTAGTAGGAGGAGGACGGCGACGGAGGTGAAGGGTAGGGCTGTTTCCTTCCGCTGCTGCCCCCGTAACCCCCCGTGTTGTCCCGTGGGGGCCCTCTGAGATGGGGTGAGCTCCCTGTTAGGGCCCTGTTAGGGCGGGTCGCCGCCGAATGTCCTCACGTACAAATGACGTCATGCCGGCACCACATGTGCACACGGATGAGGTCGCGAGGGGACATGATGTTGGCCTCGGCCCGCAGGTCGCCGCCCATGTACGAGCTGCTACGCGGGCACATGCCGTACCGGGAGATGCTCGCAAGGGTGTACGGCTTGGCGGCCCTGGGCACAGGGCTCACATTTGCTTTGATGTACAGCCTATGTACGGCAGTTGGAGGCTTGGCGGCGCTGGTGCTGGCTGGCTGAGGGCAGTCGAACACGGATGCGGTGCTCAGGGCGTTGGGGTTCAGTTTCAGGTGCTGGCTGTATATATGTATGTTCATGTGTGTGTATGTGTGTGTGTAGAGTCTGCCATGGCCTAGTGGTAGGGTGTGTATATAGATATGCATCGAGTGGTGTCCATGGCTGTACGGAATAGCAGGTAGGGATACGTACGACATGGCATCCGACATGTGAAGGGTCGTAGTACCTAGAAAGAGCGGGGGGCCCCAGGGGCCGAGCGTCAGGGTGACCGAGGGATGGCGATGTGTGTACTCTTGAGTGACCAGAGTGGCCATCAAATGTGTATGCCTATGTGTTGCACGGTGAAGAGTTTAAATCACGTCGCGCACGTAGGTGCGCATGCACGTACACACGTACAGAGCCGGATGTGTAATCACACAGTTGCCTTGCCATGAGGGGACATTGTTTTGAGAAGGAGGCCGGGGAGGGCTTTGTAAGTTGACAGGAACTTGTCACCGCAGTGTCGAGAAGGAGGGGGAGGAGCTGCATTTGTGAGTTAAATCTCTTGCGGGATTTGGGTTATAATCCCCCGTGTGGTATGTGCAGGCTAGAGATGAATGCGGCAAAGTTGCAGCGCTCCGGAGCTCGCAGCGTCGGCTCTTCTCTTCTGACTGAAAATGTCGTACGGCATTGGAAATAAGATATACTGGACGAGCAAAGTTTAACAACTGCGAAGACGCAAGCGATGACCTAGCATTGCGGTCTGTGGTCTCAAGGTTATAAACGAGCGCATGAAAAGTTTTATGCCTGATTGAAGCTTTTGACGCGACGCTTGGACCGCAACATGCTCAAGAACGTGCGCTACCCTGCTGCTAGCGGGAAAGGTATGTCACGGTGATTTGGAATTTGCATGCCTATGAGAATATTGGAGGCTGGCCATGCTTGCTTTAACTTGCAATGGTCCTTCCATTTCAGCTTGCTCGAGTCAACTAGGGCTAAGCATGGGTGCCATGCCTTTCTTTGGTATGCTCACCCGAACAGGTTCTGTTAGCAGATGCTGGTTGCCTCCGGCCGGACGTGCTGTGCGCGTGATGCGCTGCAACACCTCTGCACAGGCTAGCCCGGGCTCGGTGCTTCCTACGCTTAGCACCCAAAAGTAAGGATGCTGACGCAAGGAACTCGACTCATGCTGCGTGTGTCTTGCGCGTTGCCCCAGCCTGGCCTCTCCTCATACTACCAGCGCTAATTGCTCTCCATGCACCCCATCTCCTCTGCTGCCCCTGCTGCGCCCTCATGCTATACCTTCTCCCAATCCACTGCTGGTGTGTTCTGTGTTCTCCACTCCGCTCCTCCATGCCACACTCCAATTCCGCTCCACTGCACACCGGCCACCAGCGCAGTGTACGCCATTCGCCTTTTGCTCCACCCTTACTCCACCAAAGCTGACTTACCTCGGTCCGCATTTGGCTTCTCCTTCTGCAAAACCCCACACTCGGGCCCCCAGTCGCTCCGACTCCTGGCAGCTGGCCATCCTGGGGGACCTGCACCTGGCACCGGAGCAAATGAAGCTGTTCGACACGGCCCGGGAACAACTGAGGACGGCCATGGCGGCAGCGGACGGCAACGGGAGTCCTTGTGAGGGTGCGGATGAAGCGGGGCGGGGAGGGGCAGAGCTGGCAAGGAGGGGCGGCGGAGCTGCAACGGTGGGGGTGGGTAGTCGTTTCCCTAGTGGCGGCGGCTTGGTGGGAGGGTGGTACGTGCGAATGATCTTCGGGTAGGTGGAAAGGTAGGTAGGTAAGAAAAGTGAAAAACGATTTTCTTCGGGGTTGGGGGGCCATAAGGGATGAGTGACGTGTGCCTCTCGGCCGTGTCCTTGCCCCTTGCCCGCGTGTGTCCTTTTCATGCTACCACGGCGCGCGACGGAAGCCCGACGCGTTTCCGCACCCTATTGCTCAGTCACCATCCCGTATTTGATCTCCGCCTGCGCAGGTGCCCGTGTGGTTCAGCTGGGCGATCTGGGTCACGGCAAGCACCAGTCAGGGTCCCGGAAGTGTTTTGAGTTCGCCAGGTGGGGGGAAGAGGGCAGGGCAGGGGAGGGGGGAAGAGGCAGGGCGGGCCCCGAGCTCCACTGCGGACGTGATAGAGGGAGCCCCGGGGTGCAGCGGGGGGGGGGGAGGCGGGTTGAGGACAGGTAGTTGCACGCGGCGATACACAGCTGTACGTGCCCGTGCCGTACCGTACCTGCATGTGCGTTCCGACGTTGCGAAGTGGGGGCTCGCGCAGGCTGCGGGCTGAGGTGCTGGTGGGACGAGAGGCCGCTGCGCCGTACCTGCCTCCCCCAACCCGCAGTACCCCAACAGGGAGCCCGCCTCCGGGACTCTCCTAAATTGTTGGGTGTACGGCGCCTACAAGCGTGGACGAGCAACAGCTTTGCACAGGGAAACTGACTGGGCTTGCCGGACTGCATCGCTTGCTACCCCTCGTCATCCCGTGCTTTGTCGCGTCATTCCCTTCTTCTCTCTTTCTCAACCGTGTCTCTGGATTTTGTGTTTAACTTTAATCTCTTTCCGCGTGATGGCGGTGTGGCTGTCGCCATCGTCAATCTCGCGTGCTACGACCTGCCGTACAGGCAGTACCTGGAGGGCTTTAACGTGCCGTACGCCTTAATCCTGGGCAACCACGATCTAGAGGGGGACGAGTTTGAAACGGACGAAGAGAACCTTGCGGCTTGGAGAGAGGTACGTGAAGGGGGACGGGACGGGGGGACGGAGGTTCCTTACACGCCGGATGGCCCCACTGGTCTATGGGGGTGGGAGGGAGGGACGGAGGGATATCTCAGCTGAAGATGCCGCACAGCAGCCCTCATCTACCACCTTCCCTTCCCCCCCTTTGCTTCTTGCCCGTGCCCTACACCCAGCCAGACCCTCCTCCCTCTCCCCCCTCCCTCCTCCCCCCTCTTCCCCCCTTGCACTGCCCCAGGTGTTCCGACAGCCTCACTACTGGGCGGCTGATCTGGGTCGCACCCGACTGGTGGGGCTGTCCACTGAGAGGTACAGGTCGAATGAGAACAGGCGAGTGGGGGCAGGGGGCAGCCGGTGGGTGTCGGGGAGCGGGGTTGCCTCTGCTGTACAAGCCCTACGACCGGGTTGAACCGTACTCAGTCGGAGGTGTACTGTCCCCGCCTGCCCTCCGCAGCCACCACGAGGTGTTCATTTCCGACGACCAGGTTCAGTGGCTGGAGAAGCAGCTGGCGGATAACCCGGACACGCCCTTCGTGGTGCTCACACACGCGCCACCTATGGGCTGTGGATTGAAGGTATGTCGGGAAGTGGCCGGGAAGGGGGGAGGAGAAAGAGTTGAGAGAAACAAAGCGATCAACTGCCGACGTGTGGGAAGTGAAGACTGGACTGAACTGGGGGAGGGGAAGGGGGAGGGAGGGGAGGGGAGTTGGTCACGACCCCAGCGTGGTGTGTTTGCGTTCGCGCTCGTGTTGCCGCGCGGGTCTTGTCTTTGGATCCTCTTTATCTTCTCCCCCGTTGCGCCTCCTGGCGGGATAACCCTTTTTCCTTCAAGTTGGTGTTCGGGACCCAGGAAGTCGCTTCTTAATACCTTCTTTATACCTTTTTTCCCCATGCAATACTCGCCCTCGCCCACGCCCTCTCCCTCTCTGCGCCCACAGGTAATCCAGGAGGTGCACATCAAGAACCGGTGCGCCTGGCTGAACCACTCGGCCCAGCCCCGTGTGTTCATGGACTTGGTCAGCCGCCACCGCAACGTCAAGCTGTGGTTCTCCGGCCACTTCCACCTCTCACACAACTACCCGGACTCCATATCTACGGTGGGGGGGGCCGCGTTCGTACAGGTGAGCTGCAGGTAGCGTGTACATCTGTGCATATGTGTGCTTATGTATGTACGTATGTACGTGGGGCTGTAAGGGGGTAGTGGTATGGTTTGAGTGGAGTAAGCCGCCGGTTTAAAGAACACACGACACGTGACGCGCGTACCTAAGCCCCGGAGGAGCCTCGAGGGAGCCTTCAAGCAGGGGTTGCACAACCTTTCCGGAGCCCCACCACCGCCACTCCACAATATCACCCCCGCATCCCCCGCATCAGGCCCCTGCCCCTGTCCCTGCCGGCACTCGCAGGTTGGTGTTATTGGGGAATGCAACCGCGACGGCATGCGCCAGGTGGGTGGTAGTGGGCAGTGGCCAGGGCGAGAAGGGGACCTACGGACTGGGCTTGGGAGGGCGCAGTGGAGAGACCTGCCGGAGGTGCAGTGCAGTGCAGCGCAGCGCAGCAGCCCCTGTCTCCAAGCCGGGGTCTCTGCTTTTCCCCCCCTCCCAAAGGGTCCCGCCCGCGGCAGCAGGTGGTGCCTGGGATATCGGCGGTAGCCTCTGTTTGCAAGTCTGCACACAGTTTCCCCCCTCCCACTTTTCCACATCCTCTTATGTCCCCCCCTTCGTCGTGGGCCCCTTCCCTCCCTAGCAGCTTCACTCGTTCGTGGTTCGTCCCTCCCCTCCCTCCCTACCCCGCAGTCCCGGCTCCTCCGCGGCGGCCCGGACGGCTACCGGCTGTTCACTGTGGATCACGACAGCGGAGCGCTGAGACTGGACATGGAGGCCAGGTGGGACGAGCAGAGCCCGCCGATACCTGTCGTACCAGAGGACGAGCTGCTGTGCGACCCTGATGCTGGTTGGCTGTGCTCCCAGATGGACTGCAAGGTGCGGGTGGTGGGGGGGGGAGGAGGGGGGGGGAGGGAGGTGCCAGTGTTGGTCCAGGAAGGGCAATCAGACGAAGGCTGGGGGGGTGGGGAGGGAGTCAGGTGTCGGGTGTCAGGTGTCAGGTGTCGGGAAGGGAGATGAACTGCCGGGGACGGTGGAGGGGGAAGGGGGAAGGGTGGAGGGAGGGATTTGGCAACAGAAGATAGGGAATGAGAGAGACCCAAAGGCGACACACGCCGGCCTGATGCTCGTGTACATGTGGCGGTGTGTCTGGTGGTGCTGGGGTTGGCGCAGTGCATGGGGTGTCTCTTTAAGGAAGCAGTGTTACGACTGAGTGGATGTGTGGGTTGGGGGGGTCGGGGGGAAAGACGAACCACACACGATTGAAGCTGCTGCCAGGGCAAGAGAGTAACAAACGTAGAACTGACCGTCGGGGGGACGGGGGGAGACCAGGCAGGTTAGAGCAGGCAGGCAGGGGTTATGGGTCGCTGGCTACCTGGCGACTTGCCTGTTCGGGTGCAGGTGGTGGTGGTGGTGAAATCCTTGTGTCCAGATGGATCAGTGTTATCGTTCGGGCCCTTCTCTTGGCCTCCGCTTTTTTCTTCTTCTTCTTCTTGTTCTTCCTTGCTGGTGACGTGCCTTGCCCCCTTACCTCCTTGCCAGTACCATGTGCCCCTGACATGAGCGTGATTCGCTGAGGTCCGCAACTCTCTCCACAGCTACACCTGCCCTGAGCTTCCCTCCCCCCAGCTGGCTCACAACAGACCCCTTGATCCTGCGGTGCTTGAGCCACCCTTTCCCACCATCTCCACCCCCTAACCTTATACATAACTGTTATCTCCCCTCCCTCTTTCCATCCCCCCGCCCTCTTTCCATGGCTTCGGGGCACTACTTGGTTCTGGCGGTCATGTCATGGTGCTAACAGATGGGCGATAACAGCAGCGGCTTCATCACCTGGTGAGGGGAGGGGGTGTAGGGGAGGGGGAGATCACGTGCGGTGGGTGCGGAAGGCGGTGATGTTGATAATGTTTCTAAAGGCTAAAGGGGGGACCGCGGCTGGGCAGGGGGCCTGTTTTGGGCGCGGCGCAGGAGGGGAGGAGGGGGTTCATTGTTGTACCTTCGTAGTCGGATGTGTTCCTGCGGACGAGGAGGGGGCCTAACGCGGCTGGCCACTGCCTACGCTGTGTTGAATCTGCCGGTGCCGCTCCTGCCGCTGCTGTTGGCTATGGGTTACGGTCGTTTAGTACCTCCCCCTCCCCCTCCCCCTCCC